CAAGGCTGTTTTGTAAGAGACTTAAAGGCTGTAAGAGTGGCGTGACGAGGGGCAGGCGGGGGCTGCAAACTGTCCCCGGGACCAGGGCAGGGATGGGCAGCTGCCTGCAAACCGGCAGGACGAGCCGGGATGCCAAAACTCGCCATGGGCTTGCAGCAGCCGGGGAGAGACCCCGCCAGCCCCATCTCAAGCCCACGCTGCCCTCGGTCTCCCCGTGCTGGGGATGGAGGACCTGGGGGTGACCGGGGATGGTCCCCATCGTCCCCATAGTCCAGACCCGAGGGGCTCAGCCGTCCCCTCTGCTCTCAAACAGGGGCACCGGCTGCTTTCCCGGCAGGCTCCCGCAGCTGCCCCATCCTCACTGGTCCCGCTCGGATGCCACCAACTTAGCAGCGGGGTTTTGGATGTTCTTTTTCCCTGGCCACCTGCACGTGAGCCCCAGGGAGGGCTGAGCACCGTGCTGGGCTCCTGGGGCTCAGCCTCCACCCAGGGCACCGGGGACCCTCTCCCCATCCACCCCCATTCCCTGCACCAGCGTCCCCAGCCACGGGGGACACCCTGCGCCCGGGCTCCCTTTCCGAAGCCGAGTTAAGCAAGAAAACGGCCGTGCCCTCCGCTTTGCAGCCGCCCCACCTGGGTTCCCAGCCCGCCCTGAAGCCTTGCCCTGGCTTTGCTTGCCAGCGGTGCCGGACGGCGCATCAGCCGCTGAGCAGCACTGAGCGGCACCACCAGTGCTCAGAAGCGGCCCTGGCGCGCGCCGCCGCAAACCAGCCACTCCATTGAAGGCTCCCCCAGCACCGTGCACCACAGATTCCCCACCTGAGGGTCTGCTCCGGGGTTACCCACCCCCGGGTGCCACAGGCAGGCACAGGCAGGAGACCCCCCGAGCCCCCCATGCCGCGGGGAAGTGCCCGTCCTTCTCCCACTGCTGCTGTCGGGGCCGCGGGTTTCCCATCCTACAAACCGGAGACAAACGGCTACGGGCAGCAGGAGCCTGCGCGGTGGTAATGAGGGCCAGGCTCATTAGATTAACGAGCTGTGTGTGCGATGGGAAGGGCGTTGGGCTCTGATAGGGGGTGGCAGGCAAGCACGCTGCCTTCACCAGCTCCGGCAAAGCCCCGATCACTGCGGAGGCAACCGCACGCAGCCCCCTGCACCCTGACAGCCCTGCGGCACCCGGCTAAATCATCATTACCCCTAAAAAGACAGCGGGGAGTCAAGTGGTTTGACCAGGACTGGTCAGTGCGTCAGTGGCAGAGCTGCACCGAGCAGCTCCGGCGACAGCTGGGCTCGCGGCAGCACCATCCCCGGGCACTGGCAGCCGAACCGCGGCCGCCCCACAGCTCTTCCCTGCCCATCCCTTCGAGGGCACCCAGGCGAGACGGAGGAAAACAGGCGCAGGAGCCGGTCGGGTGTGCATCACCCGTTTGTCCACTCTAATTCCCATCCCAATTCCTCCTCCAGCGCCGGCAACCCGGCAGGCAGGGCAGGCAAACCCTGCCTACACCCCGGCGTTCCCCTTTCCCAGGCCCTTGGGCTCGTTAATCGCGGAGAGCTAATTAAAGCGGGCGAAGCACGGTACCTTGGCTCGGCTGTGGGAGGTGGATGGGGCGAGGTGGCCAGCGTGCCCACAGCCCAC